AAAAAAAAAAAAAAAAAAAAAAAAAAAACCCTCTCAAAAAAAAACAAAAAAACCAGGGACCAGCAGGTGACGTGGTACTTAAGGAACTGGACACTCGCACAAGGCCGACCATGGTTCAAATACCAGATCTGGTGGCTTGCTTTCTCACTTTCCTTCTCTCTCTCTTTCTGTGGTCAAATTAAAATAAATGAATGAATAAATAAAGTTGAATAAATAATTATAAAAAAATCATTTAAAAATAATAAAACCCAATACCTTTTCACCTACAGTATCTTTTTCCACATAGAAATTCTATTTTATTGAATCATTGGAAGTCATGACACATTTTTGTATAGAATATATCATGACTTTTCTGATGACCCAATATTTCTTCCTCCTTTGGCTTATAACATCCCCTTTAAATTAAAAATCTACAGTAGCCATCCACTGCCAATATATCACTTTTAATTTTATATTCATATAACAACTATTGAATAAAAGTTAGGCCTTTTTCTTGTCCTTTGTAATATTTTCTCCCAAGGTGCCTATTTGACTCAACCCTCCATTTACTCCCTATTGTCTAGCCCGATAGTTGATCCTTATTTTTAACTCCAAATTCCAATCATGGATTACCCAGATTAACTTGTTCTTTTTTACAGTGAGAGATAGGAATATATGAACTTGATGCATACTGCCTGAATTCATTTGGTATTTATCCATCTACTCATTCATTCACTTAACAGCTAAGTACCTACTATGGACCTGGAGACATAATAGTGAGTGATAGACAGGGTCCCAGACATGCAGAAGACAGACACCAGCATGCTGTGTAAGAAGTGTCACCAGCGAGTCGACAAGGTTCTACAGGCACGTAAGCCTCAGTGGTGTGGCAAGGACCTTCTCTGGGGGAGAAATGGCATTACTGCCATAGGCATCCTGAGGATAGACACATCTGCCTGTTTTGAATAATTCACTGAAGTACCCCCTCCCCCAAGTGTCTGGAATAGTGCCTGAGACAAAGGAGGTGTCTAGTATGCACTGACTCAGTGACTGAAAATAGCACCCTAACACATCTTACACTTTCATTCAATATTGTGACCTAATGACTGCACTGGTTATTAACTTTACTTATATATCTCTACAAACCCTAACTATACAACAAGCCATTCAAGAACTGGATGTCATGTTTTTTGGTGTCTCACACAGTCCTTTGTAATTCATATATTTTACAAAGATTTGAAATAAGTATGATAAGTATGTGCTAGTTAAGAATGAATGTAGGCATACCGTGTCATTTTTAATTACAAACTAGGAATGAATGACTACAGATGAAGATGCATATTAACTCTTCCACCTTCTAGCCTGGCTTTTGTAGCCCCATTCTACACATATGGTAAATTGCACTAAAAGTCTATTACTCAACAATTCAATTTAGAAATAACTTCAGTAGCAGAATCCACAAACCCATGCAAATTCCTGAAGGAGAACTGGAATCAAATTAACTTTCTCTTCATGCCTCACTCCTGATAACCAATCACTTAGCTGCTTACTTCCTAAACAATGACACCTGAATCAAAGCATTTAAACAGTTCACATCCCTTTCACTAGCAACAATTATCTAGGACAAACATTTTTTAGATGCTAATTAATAGCAAATAAAACACTTATCAATAAGACAAAAACAGATAATGGAGCCTTTTCAAGTCATGCAAGGATTCTTAAAAGTGTGATTTAAAACAGAAACATCTTAAAAAAAGATTTACCTGTCAAAATGAATTAATCAAACTAATAGTGCAACTTAACAAACTGCCTCTCTCATTAAATTAAGAAAGATTTTTATTATTTATCAAGATCATTCTTTTAAAGAAACCATTTTAGTAAATAAAATAATGCCACTGTACTCTTACATAGCACATGATTTCTCTTAATTTAAAAAGAACTTTGGCAGAATAGTCCTATTTTTTAAAAAAAGCTATCAAACAGTGTTAAATTCTTTCAATGAGGAATATAAACTTAATAAACTTTTAAGTGGCAATGCAAAATACTTTCCTAAAACAGAATTTTGGCTTAGTGGTTAAGGGAGCCAGATCCTATGTGGCCAACCGTGATTCAAATTAAGCCAGCCCGCTTAATAAAAATGCACACACATGCATGTGCTTGCATGCCCCAAATCCACAAGAGGAAGAAGTGGAGATGGATTATGGCATAACCTTACGCCACTGGGGGTGCTTTATCTCTTTCTCTCTCTCTCTGGCAAATGAATGTGCCCTCTGTCAATTAAGAAAAAAAAAAGAGTGCGCCAGCCCACAGCATGGTTGTTAAGGTAGCTGGATCTCACGTGGCTGACTACACAGTTCCTGTCCTGGACCTACTGGCTTGAGAAACAATGGGCACATGTGCATGTGTGTCCAAAATCCCAAGGGGAGAAGGAATTTCAGCATGACCATTCCCCACGGGAGGTGCTTTCTCACTTTCCCTCTCTGTCTCTCTCCACCAAGTACACGTACCTTCTAGCAAGTCTTTGAGAAAATAAGTTTAGGTCATGATGACATATTTTTCTATGTAATAATGAATGATGACTTTCCTGACACCCCAACAGTAGTAATTAAATGTTCTAGGACCAGCAGATGGCATAACGGTTACATCCTGGGCCCCCACGTAGTCAATTGCAGTTTGACTCCCAGACCCAGCAGCTTAACACTCATACCAGGCATGTGTGTGTGCATGCCCAAATCCCAAGAAGAGAATGGAGAAAAGGGGATTGTGGTGTGGCCATCCCCCCAGCGGGTGATTTCTTGCTTTCTGTATCTCTCTATCTCTCTGCCAAGCACACACTTCCTATAGCAAAAATCTCTCTCTAAAAAAAAAAAAAGTTCTTCGAAAAGTATAAAGACTGTCTCAAGTTTGGTTTATGTGACAACATAGACTTTGTAAAATAATACATATTGCTTTTTGTATAATAAATATATGCTTTTTATTAAACTTAAGAAAATGCCAAGACCTTTTTAAGTTCTATATTTGACCTTAAAGAATATGTCTCCATTTCATTGGCCAAGTGGTCAGACAGGCTGTATGGATAAGGAATGCCAAAGTAATCAGCCTCTTCCTGTAGGGCAATGCGGGTTTGCTCGTCTGCGGGAATCTGAACTTCTCCATGAAGATAATCCAAAAGGTATTTAAACAGATGTCCATCACGGTCAATAACACAAGCACCTAAAAAACATTCAGTTCCAAAATGACTGCAGACATTCATATGACAAACAACAGGACTTCAAGTTAAATTAGGTCTGAAAACTACGATTAGAAACATTTCTTTCTACTAAGAAAGTTAATTCCTAATGTTCAAATAGGTTTAGTCAATTAAACTAAGCTAGACTTTTGGCTCTTTATTAGACCACCAAATATGATAAGCTAGCAAACCTCACCTTAAAAATAGGTCATATTCTGGGACCAGCAGATGGCGTAACGATTACGTTGCTGGACTCCCACAGGGCCGACTGGGTTCCAGTCCCGGACCCAGCAGCTTGAAACTCACACTGGGCACATGTGCGTGCGTACCTACAGTCCTGAGCAGAGAATGAAGAAGGGACTGTGGCGTGGCCATTCTGCCTCCCCCTGAGGGGAATGATTTCTCACTTTCTATCTCTTTGTCTCTGTCTCTTCAGTGAGCACACACGACCTATAGCAAAAATCTCTAAAAAAAAAAAAAAAGTGATATTTTCAAATTGAATGTGAGTCAGTTGATGATATCAGTAGATTTCTATAACACTGCACATAAATCTGAACACAAAGATTTATCACCAGAGTTACCACCTTTGGTTGTGTGGTGTATTATGTACACTGATGCCAAACCAAGGAAGTAAGCGAGGCTGAAAGCAAGCCAGGGTTTAGAGCACCAAGCCATGTACCCTGGCATAGAACTGTATCTTCCTGGATAAAAGGGCACCCTCTTCTATAATCTCTGAAGGGAGTGCACGGGTTAGTGGTAGACCCCTGTATTCTCACCCACCACACAGAAAAAGGTATTCGGAGACCCATCTGGTACTTTGGGTGAGTGACTACATTCCCATGATGGCTATAGCAAAGCCAGAAATCTCAGACTTCTTGCAGAAATAGAAGCTCCCCCCAACCTCAGTCTCGGGATAAGTGTATGGAGCTGCTCACTAAATGGGGCTCACAGGTCCTACGTCCAGTGTATGTCAGCAACACTATAAGCTGGGTTCCCTGGTCCAGACATGCCATATGTTGGGAACAGTTAGTTTTGTCCCTTTGTACTATGAGAACCTAAACTTCAAAGTAAAGAAATGTCATTTTAGGGACCAGCAGTTGGTGTAATGGCTATGTTACTGGACTCCCATGTAGTCAACCGTGGTTCGAGTCCTGGACCTACTGGCTTAAACTCACACTGAGCACATGTGCATGTGTGTCCAGGATCCCGAGAAGAGAATTGAGGAGAAGGGATTGTGGCCTGGCCATTCCCTGTCTCTGTCTTTCTGGTGAGAGCACATGCCCTATAGCAAAAAAAGTCTCCAAAAACAAAAACAAAAAAAAAAAAAAAGAAAAGAAAAGAAAAAGGAAAGAAATGTCATTTTGGCACTACTCTGTAATAAAAGGCATTTCTTAGATGATTTAACAGAATTTAAAAAACACCACCACCCTGGCCCCACTGCAGGGGTGCATACTACTAAAATGCTGTGCTCCATGGCATTGTACCTCTAATCCCGCAACTCCACAAGGTTGAGGCAGAAGGACTGCAAATACAAAACTGGCTGAGAGAGTCCATCTATAATAAAACAGAGCCAGGCTTACAGCATGCATCAGCAGTCCCAGCCTGAGGCTCAGACAGGATAGAGAATGACGAGACTCTGACTTAAATAAAACAAAACAACTTCTGCACTGGGTTACTCAATAGTTCCTTTTCCCCTTTGATTAGCTCAGGAAAGAAGGAGCTGTAAAGGCAACACTTAGGGGCAAGGAAGAAAACCCAGTCTCTGCTTACCATTTTTTCACCAGCAACTTTTCTGCTCAAGTGGACATCAGCTCCACATACCTGCCATTGGTGATTTTACCATTCCCTCAACTGCCATTTATCGGGCAAAGTAACTTCCCAAGACCTGGGGTTATCAAAAGTAAAACAGCCCCTGTCGTGGAAGGAAGAGGCTGAGGTGAGAAACGAGAGATTAGGATTACAAATCTCACTCAAGATTAAATGATTGTAGAAAATACTCCTAAGAGAAGAAGATTCCTCATGGCTCCTGCAAACTAGGCAGGAGAGACAAGGCCTTCAAAAGAAGATTCTTCATGGCTCCTGTGAACTAGATTGAACTTCAAAAATTAGAAAGAAACACACCATCCATCAGATGACAAGAAATCACCGCAGGAGACCACAAGAAATATGGGAAAGCAAGAAAATACCTCTCCTCCAAGGGAAAAAGAATAACTCTTCTTCATCCACAAGCAGTTCAATGAAAGTCATGGAAATGTCTGATAAAGAATTTAAAGCATTCATAATGGCGAAGCTAACAGAGATGGAAGAGAAGAGAGACAATGAACTGCTAAAGAGAAAGGAGAAAGAAGCTGATGAATTCCAGGAGGTGAGGAAATTCTTGCAAGATCTTAAAGAGGAATTACACACTTTACAAAAGAATCAAACGGAACTGCTAGAAATGAAGTCTATAATACAGGAAGTCAAAATCTTCCTTGAAAGTATTAAAAGCAGACTAGATCATACAGAAAATAGAATCTCAGACGTAGAAGAGAAAATTGCTGGCCTAGAAAAATCCACCATGAAGACTGAGAAAATGGCCCAAAAATTTGAGAATAATATACGAGAAGTACTGGATACCATCAAACATCCAAACATCAGGATAATTGGCATTCCAGAAGGCAAAGAGACCCATAAGGGCATTGATAATCTATTCCATGAAATCCTGCAAGAAAACTTTCCAAACCTAGAAAGGCATTCAAAGATCCAGTCACAAGAAATACAAAGGACCCCAAATAGAATCAACCCAATAAGATCTTTTTCAAGACACATTATAGTCAGGTTGACCAAAACCACAGACAAAGACAAGATACTAAGATTGGCAAGAGAAAAACATCAAGTTACTTACAAAGGACATCCCATCAGGCTAACTGCAAATCTCTCATCGGAAACAATGCGAGCGAGGAAAGAATGGGAAAATATATTCAAAGTGTTAAGAGAGAAGCAATTTCAGCCAAGAGTACTGTACCCGGCAAGATTATCTTTCATGTGGGAAGAAAAGACAAGAACATTCTCAGATAAACAACATCTGAAAGAATTTACTAGCACCAGACCAGATCTCCAAGAAGTTCTCAAGAGTATGCTATATCAGGAAAATTAAACACAGACACACAGAAATAAGAGTTCAAAAACTAAGAAAGTGGCCAACTTAATCATAGGGACAAGTCCAGAGTTGAATATTATTTCCCAGAATTTAATCAGGAAAATTGAACCAGAACAAAAGAAAAAGTACATGAGACTGATAGGTTCATGCACCTACCATTTGAACAGAATCCTAACCTGTTTCCTGGCTTTACACAAAGTTCCTTGGCATTTCTTTTATTTAAGTTAAAACTGGTTTTCTTAATAGTCCGAGTGAACTTACCATTGAAGGTAGTTAGATTATGTAAGAAATTGTGTGATCAATACAATGTGGGTGGGAAAGGAATGGAAGACAATTGTAGACACCAGAGATACTGTGAGAAAGAGGGGTAAAAAAAAAATTCTAGGAACTAGAAATGGAAAATTTTTGATAATATTATGCATGATTAAGTCACTATGCAGTATATTCTGGATGGAAAATCACATTTTGTACGTTGTGCTGATGCTTAGCTTTAAGCAAAGTTCCTTGGCATTTCTTTGATTTAAGTTAAAACTGGTTTTCTTAATAGTAACGAGTGAACTCACCATTGAAAGTAGTTAGATTATGTAAGAAATTGTGTGATCAATACAATGTGGGTGGGAAAGGAATGGAAGACAATTGTAGACACCAGAGATAGTGTGAGAAGAGGGTGGGAAAGGACAGAGGGTCAGAAAGGGGTAAAAAGAATTCTAGGAACTAGAAATGGAAATTTTTTATAATAATATTGCATGATTAAGTCACTATGCAGTATATTCTGGATGGGAAATCACATTTTGTATGCTGTAATGATGCTTCGGGAAAGAATGTAAATTAAGTTACAAAAAAATAGTTTCAGAAAAAAAATATCTATTCAATGAATGCAGTAAGATATGTAGCCCCAGCTAGGTGCTACTTTATAGGATGCCTAAAGTTAGACTTGTGTTCATTTAAAAAAATTTAAAAAAAAAATAGAGTAAAACGGCCCCCTATGTTTAAGACTGTTCAGTCCTTTTCTTCTAAGGCAAAACCAAGAGTTCTGGATTTGGGGCTCATGGATAGTACAGAAAAATAGTGCAAATGTTGACGAAGTTTCTTTACAATCAGGAGTCGGTTAGTGAATCTAGTAACTCTTGTGTATTACATTCTTCCGATAAGCACAGCTTCGGTCTTCTGTTACAGTGACTGATGGCACCACTGCACGGCCATTTTCCCAGCCACCCATCATGTCAGCCCACACTACAAGACCACACAGCTAGGCTAGGTGGAGAGTGCAACGCTAACTCCACACTGACCACGAATGCTCTGTCAACTGTGAAGCCAGCTGCCTTCTCCAGAGAAATACATTTTTTAATGTGAAGAACACACAGAGAAATTAATATATTTAATCAAATTCAATACCACCACCCATGACCTTTAAGACACAGTCAAGCCCCCCTAAGTAGGTCACGGTTAGCCTTTGGTCACTCTCACTTCTTTGTTAACTTTTAGCAATATTATCACAGAGTTTAGAAACTGGTATTTAATTTATCCAGGTACTTAATGACTCTCCACATAGTTCTAATGACCTCAGTTACATTCCATTAAAATCAGGACACAGGGAATTAAAACAAGAATCCTGTTCTAACGAATATTCATGATCATGCTTCCAGACTTTAGACATTTACCTGATTCATCTGTTTTTAGTGGAAAACGACCACTGAACATAGATGCCAGCATAGAGTCCTTAAAGCGGCACAAGGACTCACGTCGGGCTGTGTAAACACAGCCTCCCACGTTCAGCCGGAGAATATCCAGCACCTCTTCTTCTGCCTTGGGGCCTTCCATTGCTCCCAAATACCTGAATTTTTGCCTCACGACACTTCTAGAAATTCAAAACAATGGCAGTCCCAGTATGTCTCTGTAAAAACAAAGGACAGTTATCACTGACACTTTCAATAATAAATAGATGACAAATTAAATACATCTTCGTGTGAATTAAAATAAATTCCTCAGTACTGAAACTACTGAATGAAGGATTTTATATAAGCTGAAAGAAGTTTGAATTACACGGAGAAGCTCAAAAATGTTCACTCTGAGGATTCATAAAAGATAATAAACCATTACCAACTAAATCATAGCTGTTGAAATGACTAGTTAAAGAATTAGACAAGGAAGAGCCAACAAATGGTGTAATGGTTACGTCACTGGATTCCCACATGGCTGACTGGGGTTCAAGTCTGGGACCTGGTGGCTTGAAAATCATGCCGGCATGTGTATGCATGCTCAAGATCCCAGGAGGAGAATGGAAGAAAAGGGATTGTGGTGTGGCCATCCCTTTGTGGAGGTGATTTCTCACTTTTCCTCTTACTGTCTCTGTCTCTCTCTGTCTCTCTCCCTGGTCAGCACACATGCTCTAAGGCAAAAATCTCTTTAAAAAAATTTTAAACAAGGGACCAGTAGGTGATGTAGTGATTAAGGTACTGGAGTCCCGTATGGCCAAACACAGTGTGAGTCCCAGACCCAGCAGATTGAATGTCATACTGGGTCCCCATGTACACATGCATGCCTAAAATCCCTAGAGAATGGAGGAGAAGGGACTGCGGTATGGTCATCCCCCCCGCCCCCGAGGGTGAGAGGGGGTGATTTCTCATTTTTCCTCTCATTGTGTGACCCTGTCTCTTTCTCTCTGGCAAGCACAGGCACCCTATGGGGAACCCCCCTCCAAAAAAAAAAAAAGAAAGAAGATAATGCATAGTCTGCCACATATAAAGTAAAAGAGAGGTGGGACCAGCAGGTGCTGTTAATTGTTACATCGCTGGACTTCCATATAGTAGACCAAAGTTCGAATCCTGGGCCCAGTGGCTTGAAACATGCCAGGCACATGTGCGTGCGTGCCCAAGATCCCAAGAGGAAAATGAAGGAGAAGAGATTACAGCATGGAAATCACCCCTAGGGGGTGATTTCTCACTTTCTGTCTGTCTGTCTCTGTCTATCCAGTAGACACAGCCTATAGCAAAAATCTCTCTTAAAAAAAAAAAAAAGAAAAAAAAAGCTAAAGGTGAGGTGTGTTTATGATCTTTGTTATTCACATATCTTTTTTTTTTTTTTCACACTAGAGGGCATGTGTGCTCACCAAAGAGAGAGAGAGAAAGAGAGAAAAAGAGGAAGAGGAGAAAGTACCCATCGTGGGGACTGGTCATGTCACAATCTCTTCTCTATTTGTCTTTCCTTTCAGGATTTTGGGCACATATGCACACATACCCAATGTGTCTCTCAAGCCTTCAGATCTGAGACTCCAACTGTGCAGTCAGCCATGTGGGATCCGACTGTCTCAATCAGGTCACAGAGCCAGCCCATTCACATATCTTTTTAACTGTAAGCAGTCTGAGAGAGCTGTCTAGACTAGAACTGTCCTCTACACGGCAGAGATCAATATGTATTATGGAATTGAGCTGCTAGGCTTTACAACTTACTAGCTCTGGGACCTTGGGTAAATTACTCATCTTTCCCTTCTTGCTTCCTCATCTATAAAATAGATGCACTCATAGTGCCTACCTCAAACGACTACCAGAGGAGTAATTAACAGAACATATAAAAAGCAAGTATAATAGTCTGTGGCTCAGAGTAAGTACTCAATAAATGATAAATATTATGAATAATGACATAAATTTTATCATAAGTATATACTGAGATACTTAATATTGACTCTGGAGAGTTCAGGAAACAAAGGAGCAGTAATTATTAACAAGGATAATTGTAACTCTTAACTTAGGTAACTAAAGAATATATAATTTATCAACTGAGATCAGAATTCTATATCTACCAATAACCAGTCTGGTCTAGACTTGTAAATAACATCACAAAATCATGAAGCTTTGGGGAAAGTTTTAAATGTTTGATTTCCTAATCCATTCTGGAGATTAAATTACTGGTGACTGGTATTTCTGGAAACAATACTGTGAAAAAAAGGTACTCCCTTGGGACCAGCAGTTGCTGTAATGGCTATGTTGCTGGAATCCCATGTAGTTGACCGTGGTTAGAGTCCTGGACCCAGTGGCTTAAACTCACGCCGGGCGTGTGTGCGTGTGCGCCCAAGATCCCGAGAGGAGAATGGAGGACATGGGGTTGTCATGTAGCTATCCACCCTGGGGGATGATTTCTCGCTTTCTGTCTCTGTCTCTCTGTTGAGTACATGCACCCTATACTAAAAACTTCACAAAAAAAAAGTTACTCCCAAATATTGAAAATCTGCAGTATCTACACATTTCATATCAAGTTTAAAATGGTATGAAGGCTCATTTTACTTTCACTAAGTGATTTAAGACGCTTCTGTAGATGCTCCATTTTTGCCGGTCCACCCTAGGGCTGCCTGCCAGCAACTGGTGGAGTCAGCCTCACCCCAGGTCAGCGGGCCCAGTCCCCACCTCTTCCTGCTGCATGCACACTGCCTCCTTCAGCACTGCTTCGCCCCGTGGCTCTTCACTTACTCAGCCTCTGCCCATCTGAAGACTTGGTGCCTTGCAAGACGCAGCAGGACCGAGTCCAGGAGTTAAGAGCTACCCATTCCCCAGCCCAGTTCCCCTAAGGCAGAGGCCCATCACCATTTCAAGGCCAGACCTTTGGCGGCGGCCCTCCCAGCCCACCCTCAAATGCACCCAGTAAGGCTCCATGGAGTGTGGGAAGTGCCGATCCCTGGGAGCAGTGTCCCCTAAGTGCGGTCCTGTAACCACCTGCATCAAAACCATCAGGGATGCTTGCTGAAAATGCACACTCCCGGGCCAAGGCTGAGTGCCTGCTTCAGAGACTGAGAAGAAACACTGCTTGGGAGGCTCACAGAAGCAAAACGAAAGAGGAGGAGCTGGGCAACCAGAAGGCCCTGCCGGGATTCTCCGCTGCCCACGGACCCGAGTCAGCCAGAAGCCCGAGCCTGTAGCCCCGCGGCA